CATACATACTTACATACATAAATACGTACGTACGTACGTATGTACGTACATACATACATACCAACATACATATATACATATAAACATACATACATACATACATACATACAGACATACATACATACATACATACATACATACATACATACATACTTACATACATAAGTACGTTCGTACGTACGTTTTAGGGTTTTAGGGTTTTAGGTATCTTTATTTGTTTACACGCTATTGCTATATACAATGCCTGATGTCCGTGATGGACTTGTGGCTACCGGCAGGTGTTGGCAGATCCCGTGACCCTGCTTTTAAGGGGAGAGCGAACTGGACTATCTAAAGGCTGAGTCGTTTGCTGTCTGTGGTTGTTGTACTTGTTGGGTTGTTTTCTTTGGGTGTGGTAATGTAGTTGTGAGTCATGTAGGTTTTGATAACCGTACCTGACTTGATGGAGATTCTGTGAGTAAGCTGTGATAGATATGCATATCGTTCCATTGAATATGAGATCTGATACAGTGGCTCACCAGTGTATCATACTCACTACCGCATCATCGGGTCGCGGCGTACGATTGTGTCTGCCGGTAGGTATTCAATGAGGATGAGTTTGGGGCGGAGGGTGTTTCATAGCGGAGTGTATGTTAATATATGAGCTATTCAACTTCAAGTCAATGCATATCTGTCGCAGGCATATTCGCCAGCGTCTGATCAAATCAGGTGGGGTTACGCTACTACAAATGTATGAGAGTGCAATGTCTATGGGGATGTGATTGTCCAAGTCTTGATCTATATCAAACAGGGGGTGTATGTGATGGTTCGGGAGTTTGCGTGTCCAGAACTGGGGTGCCGCTATATAGGCACTTGCCTGTGGGTGAAGCGTATTGAAGTCCATTTGCGGATTGTCTATCCATAGTATTCTGTTTGCTTGTTCAAAGTGTTGTCTACGTTCCAATGACGTATACTCGTTTTGTGGGTGTTCAGAGTCTACGAGTAGTGTGTGTACTATTGTGGTCATGAGCCGTGGTACTGGGAATATAGAGTTCAATAGCATTTGAGGCTCTATGGGTCCTTTGTGTAGATACACTAATTGATCGTGTAGTGTGAGCATGTCGGTGTAGCGTTTGCGGGTGCTCAGAGCGTCTAGTAGGTTGCTATCAACTACAATCTCTTTCTGTGGCGATATGAGCTTCGACTCGTAGGGTAATACTAGTGGGCATGTGAAGTGTGATGTGGTGAAAGGTGTTTTTCTGCAGCCAATGCATGTGAGACCTGCCGGGGTCTTTTCTAGCGTGAACATATACCTGTTAGTGACGGTGCGACTATCGTGGGGACTCTGAATAAGAGACTGCTGAAGCTGTGATTTTCGAGTGGCGTGTGGAGCCGGTATCGCTCTTCCTCGCCTGGGTAGATGAGTTCAAATCGGAGTTCGCGAGCTGCTTGTCGATGTAGCGCGCTTTCCTTTTTGTTTGGCTTTCTATTTGTGTATGCTTGTTTCAGTTTCGTGTATGTTATGAACGGAGGGTAGTGAAGTATGTTCTCGCGAGCGAGCATAGTGAGTCTCATAGGGGTGAATATGGTTGCTTGTTTGTCCAGATATTCCTGTAAAGGATTTCTGTGTGACATGCGAGTTATATGATTTATAAGACTCACGCACTGCCAAGTGCATAATGCTCGTGCGTTGAGGAGTCCACAGAACTGAATTTGTTTCAGCATAGTTGGTGTGGCTTATGTTAGAGTCTTTTTGTGTGCGGCAGCGGAAAGGATATATCCTGAGGCTTTATGAATTACGGTATCGAGCTTGTCGAGTTGTGTATTGATTTGTGATGTGAGCGAGTAGTGTGATAGTGGAATAAAAGCTAGACCGTAAGTGATTTTCGAAAGTATAAATACTCGGAAGATCATGAGCTTGTTGTGTGGGTGTAGGTGGGTCCCAGCTCGGAAGCCAAGCGGGCCACTATGGCTGATCGAATCGCTTAGTGTATTTATACGCGTTTCTAGCATTTGTACCACGTCTATACCCTTGGGTCCCATAGGGAATCCCAAGTATCTAGCAGTGGGGTGGGCGTCAATACTATTCAGTCCAAGCATGAATGTGTGTGCCAGTTTGGGATTTTGCGGTGCTACGTATATTGATTTCTTTGGGTGGTAATTCTACCC